ATACATTATAAGATTTTTAAATGTAAATATGCATTTTCTGGTGATGAACAAAACATTAATAAAATGACTATTATAAATCAAATGGATGAAAATGATTAGCAAAGTATTAATGAAAAAATATTTTTTTAAATCTAAATTTGCACTGTCTCAATTCAAGTATGAATCATTTAAAAATCAAGAATAAGTATTCGATTTGTGCATGGTTTGATTGTGCCTCATAACCTAAAATATTTGTGTCCGCCCTTGAGTACATGGATATATTATCCAAATAGACTCCTTTTCAGTTCAACGTTGGCGTGGCTAATTCCATTTTCGATATGTATGGAAAATGTAAAGCAATTGTCAAAGCTCGGCGTATATTAATCAAAACGGAAAGAAGGGATTGCTCTAATTGCAACTTGTGAGCAAAATAAAGTTGAGGAAACTTTATTACTATTTGCTTGGATGCTTGGGTCCAGTATGTAAACATGCAAATGTTATAGGCAAGAAGGACACATTGTTATTTAGATATTTCTACTTCAAAAATATTGAGTTTTCGCAATTATAAAGTCGCACGAAGGAATCAGATGAAAATACGATGCAATATTCAAGAATGCATTTTATTCAATTCGAGGCTCAAGATCCAATAAGACTAGAGGCTCGTAACTGTTTTATTTCTTTATTCCACAATTTGGAGTTGGAATGGGTTTTTATTCAAATTATAAAATTCTGAATTTCTTTTAATTAATTAATCATTTTTTTCGATTTTCAATTTTGGGTATTCTTTCGTGAATCAATGACTTTTAATTCTTAATTTCGTGGTATTATTGTAATTAACATGTTTTAGACACGTTCATCGTTCTTGTACTATTCTGTTGCGTCACCCGTTCAACCGACAAGTCATAGTCGATTGATATTGTAACTAAAAAATGGGTTGTGCTAGATGTATACCCAACCCATTATCTAATGGATTACACCCCCTCAAATGGAGGAGGTGTAATCCATTAGCTAATGTATTGTGTACATTTAGACTAATATTTAAAAAATAGTTTTAAATGAAAATTCAGGTTTAAAAAACAAAATTCATAGTACGATTCTTATACTTTTTTTTTTCTCTCTTAAAAGAAATATAGCTATACATTAGTCAATTTTATTCACTTGCGATGTATGAAGTAAAACATTATGGTAAAATGGAAAAAATGTATTTTTATTTTTGCATAGTCGCGTACTAATATGTATATAATCTACTCTTTTACTTATTGTTAAAATAAGAAAAAATATATATATATATATATTTTTAACCAAAACAGGAAATTTCATTTTAATAAAATGTTGCGAACCACTGGGCGAAATAAAAAAGGGTATACAATCAACTAGTCGGAATCAATTAGGAAAGTAGTAGAATATATTCCCTATTTGATTCAACTACAAAAGTGAATTAAAATATAAGTTAAAGTTAATAATTAATTTTAGAATAATGCTACTTGTGCATCATTGTGTACATAATGATGTACAAATTGATGGTTTCCATGTCTGAATCTGTATACCAATTTATTTTTCAACTACACATTTCAATTTTTTTTTTAATTCTGATTTTATCTAAGCCCCTGTTTCACACACATTTTATCAAAATATATTCTTTCAAAACTCATTTTCAACTACACATTCTTCAATAAAATAATATTTTCTATCACATCAATAACTTTTCCTTACTTTTTAACCACACATTTCTTATCATATCACTATTTAAAATACATTTTCCATCAATAATATTCATCAAACACACCCTAAATCAAATATAGGCATAATAGACATATTTTGCGAATAATTTTATCTAGCACCTGTGGTGATATAATATTAGTGTAGGTGATGCTATGTGATATACTTGATGGAAAGTAAAATTAAGTGACTTATTAAATTGTACTTATCATTTAATGTCACATCAATAACACTTGATGACACCAATGATGATGTTAAATAGTACTATCATGTTCTGCTATAGTTTTCATTACACGGGTGAGTGTCAGATATTAATGCATGAATGATATTTATAGAGCATAGAAATTGATGAGCCACTCGAATAAAATGGTCCCCTTTCATTTTCCTCGTCACAATAGTTGTCATCCTGATTGACTATTTTCGCTCAAAATTGTTGGCACAGCCCCACCTCCCTCTCTCACACAGTCAGTGTGTGTGCAGTTCTTGCTTTTCTTGTGGGATTTGATTTTTAGGATAAGCCATCAACGTCATTCAAAAATTCCCTGCACCCCATTTCATTATTGGCTCTATTTGGCCATCTACTCGACTGTTTTGTTACTGAAGTTACATCAATTATAATTATTAAATGGAAAGGCATCGATACAATACTCTATAAGTAACCTTTGAAATGAATAAGACACGGTTAAATGGAAAAAATTAGTTGAGTGACAGCTAAACGAGGACGACATGTCTCAACTCATAGTCCATAAGGTGAGTTCGTTTGTGGACTTATGAAGGGTCTTTCGGGGTTTCCTCAATTATCCTGCTTTGCTTTGATATCTTGAAAAGTTTAAGAATGTACTCTTGAAACATAAAACATTAGTAATTACTTTTAGACCCAACACTCCAAATCTTCTGTATCAGGCATGGAAAGTCTGTCCTTTCACATGAACAGGCATAGCCAAGCTCCAAGTGTCTGAATTAGCTAATGGAGTTTTTACTTTTTACTGTGTCTGTGTCATCACTTAGCAGTGGGAAAAGGCATCCTCAGTATAACAGCATTGGACTGCAAAAGTTAGGTATATTTCATCTTTCAAGCGGGCCTTTGCTGTAAAAACTGCAGCTATCAAAATTGGAAATATGTGTACAATTTGAGAGTTATGGCAAATTGAATGCTGCTTTTATCCATTTTGCACTTGTGGAACTCTCTTAATTTGGCACTCATGGTAATCTCTTTCATATTTCACACACTTATAAATCCATAATTACCATTATATTGAAATCATCCCACCAAGTAAACTTGTTCATTTCCTTTCCTGGCAGTCATTTGTTGCATTTTATCTATATTTATGCTTGCTTTTATAGCATTCAGATATTTCTCATGCACTAACTAAATTTATTGCCTTTTTCTTCATCAATAGGGACATCTTTTCACAAGAGTCCAATTCTTGAATTGTGGGGCAGATTACCATTGAATTCATCAGCATTTCCCGTGCTTATCTGGCTCTTAACTGATATTTATTGCAAATCGTCTCTAATAAAGTGCAACTGTCTGTGTTTTTAGTGTTTTACTCTTTAGCTTTCCCACTGTGGTTCTTTTCCCATAAAATATACAGATCTGAAAATATAAGACTGGATATAAATTCTATTGATTGAAAGGATAGATGCTGACCCGTGAGTCAAGCACCTCTGTGTGGAGTAGAGAGCAGGATAAGCAATTTGAGAAAGCATTAGCAACATATCCTGAGGATTCTTCAGATAGATGGGAGAAAATTACTGCTGATATTCCAGGAAAATCTCTGGAAGAGGTTAAACATCACTATGAACTTTTGATTGATGATGTCAGCCAGATTGAGTCTGGCTGCATACCTTTGCCTTGTTATAATTCTTCTTCAGATGGTTCAACAAGATATGCTATTGATGAAGGAGCTGTTAAGAAAGGTGGGAATTTTGGGCACTTAAATGGCGATTCTGGTCACGGAGGCAAGGCTTCAAGGTCAGATCAGGAGCGGCGCAAGGGAATTGCTTGGACAGAAGATGAGCACAGGTGAAGTTTTGTGGTATTTACTAGTTTTAATCTAAAAGTATGCCCCAACATGGACATACAAATAGAACGTGCTTGTTCTTGGTTAGTGCAATTTTTTTGCTAACTGGGGTCTAATATAGTTTTGTTAATATGATCTCACTTCGAAGTTGGATGCTTTTTATCCACAATTTTACGCTCCTTTTTTGTTTTTTCTGTTGTTTCTGGTCATGAGAAATCTAAAACCTCACATGTTTCTTTTCATTCTTGTTCCTGTAAAGAAGCAAAGCCTGTGAACCAATCTTTGGTAAATCCCTGAGTATGTCTTTCTCTTACCTGCAACTTATAGCGATAAAATCAGAACCAATCTCAATATCAAATGATACTATCGGTGAACCACGAGGAAGAGGAAGACCAAAAATCAAATGGACCTAATCGTTTAAAAAGTTTCGAGTTTCTGTATTTGACTCATTAGATTACCTTTCAGTAAGAAGGAGATTTGGGTAATGCATCCAGATTTTGGCTCAGCATACAGCTAAAATGTCAGACCTTACAACAACAGAAAATGGTGAGAGAGGTTGATAGAGGTTTCCTTCAGGATCTTAATGTAATGCTTAAGTTAATGTACAAATGGAGAGCAAGGGAATTTAAACCTTGTAGTTGTGTTCATGTGTGTAGATTAGGACATAACATTAATATGGAGAATAAGTTGTGTATTTATGAGAGAAGAGACCTCGTTGAGTTCAGCTAGGGCATAGAACAAAATTCATGAGAGGAATCTTGGAAATGTGTAGAAAAGGAAATAGAATCCATCTGCGAGATATTCCATGATTTTACAATCAAACGTCCATGATCTATTCATGATTGAACATATGTTGGGTGTCGCTTGGAAATTTCCTTATAGGTTAAGGAGTTCAAGGTTGAGTTTGGAGGCCAAACTGTTTTGGCTTTTTCTGTACAAAGATCGTCAAATATGAAAACACAAGTAGACGAAATTGTGTTGTTCAAATGACACTGAGTATGTCTAAAACCTTAGAAGAAGCTTTGCCATGCCTCTAGACTCTATTTATATATGTTGATGTTGCTAGAGAAATATTTTCCTTAATTTCAAGAGAAAGTTTTTCACTTGGATAGACGAATAAAGTAGACGTGTCTTGAATTTTTTGACGAATATGATTAGAGCTTTTAAGCACGGTAACTCTACTTCATTGTCCAATCACTTGATTTGACAGATAAATGCCGGTGCTTATTTCTCTAATTACCTGGTAGAGAAGTGCTGTGTGTTTATTTGTGTTTTTCTTTGCTTTTTTTATTTTNATTATTAAAATGAAATCAAATACAAAGTAAGGAGGGGGACTGGTGTACCTTACCTCCAACAGAATTACAAAAGCACCTACCAACTACCGAATGAATGTGCACTATACTTAGTCTATTACAAAATACAACTAGTCTCCAAATACAAAAGAAATCATTGTCCAATCACTTGATTTGACAGATAAATGCCGGTGCTTATTTCTCTAATTACCTGGTAGAGAAGTGCTGTGTGTTTATTTGTGTTTTTCTTTGCCCAAAAATAAAAAATGACTAGATCGTTACCAAGGAGATGTGTATGGAAAATGGAATAGGATATTGCCATTCTGTTTGTGATAAACAAACTGAGATGAGACTGGTCTTTTTTTTTTCTCCCTTTTTTGCAAAACGTAGGCTCAACTCACCTAAGGTGTAGGGATTTTAATAATATCCTCTTTAGAACTTTAAATGGGGATCCTGAGGAAATATTTTTTTGGTATAGAAGCAAAATCAAAAGTGATATGTTGAATTCTAAACCTGAATCATGACCAATATGGAAGTAAATCAAGTCAAAGAAATGGCTATCTTGGAAAACTCGACTCATCCAAAAGAGTACCAACGTCGCCCAACAGCAACATTTGACTTTAAAGTAACTAGTTATACAACTGTCAGAATGATCAAAATCTTCTTATTCTCCTAATTTTCAGTGCTTGGATGACCAACTTAAGTTATTTCTGTTGTTCTATTTTCTTGTATGTGTATTTTTTAATTTTTCACTTGATCAAACTTTAAACTTCCCTCTGTATAACTCCCACCTCTTGGTACAACTCTTTAAGCAAAAGGAGTAAATTATTATAACAGTGAGTTAAAAGTTAATATGATTAAGTCCCTGATTAGTATTCTACAGAATAAGGATGCTTGCCTTACTTTAATGCTGCTTGTATTGGATTTTGTGTTTCTCTGATTTTTCATTAGCTCAATTCTTTGAGTGTGACATTTTCCATTTTTAGTATTTAATTGAGAGTTGTATTTTCCTTTGTGGGTTGGCAAACAGATTGTTTCTTCTTGGTTTGGAGAAATATGGAAAAGGTGATTGGCGAAGCATTTCCCGGAACTTTGTGGTGACGAGAACTCCAACTCAGGTGGCCAGCCATGCGCAGAAGTATTTCATCCGTTTGAACTCTATGAATAAAGATAGAAGGCGATCAAGCATTCATGACATAACTAGTGTCAACAGTGGAGATGCTCAAGGTCCAATCACTGGAGGTTCATCCGGCCAATCAAACAACCAACATCCAGTTGTCCCCCCCGGAGTTGGCATGTACGGGGCACCAACAATTGGACAACCGATAGGACCACCACTCGTTTCTGCTGTTGGCACTCCAGTGAATCTTCCACCACCAGGGCACATGGCTTATGGTGTTCGAGCTCCAATTCCCGGACCTATGGTTCCTGGTGCCCCAATGAACATTGGTCCTATTGCTTACCCGGTGCCACACACATCT